GCACAGGGTACAATGCCATTCTCCTTCCCTTTCTCCCCCTCCCCCACAACATATCTGATCTAGCAGCTGCTTCTGCCAGCATGGGACCCATGCTGCATGCAGCATAATCCCAGAGCTGCCAGGGCAGGTGCCATGTGCAGCTCAGTCTGGCCAGGGCACCATGAGAGGTGTAGCTGCTGCTCTGATCCAACTGAACCACACGTGGCAGCCAATGTCAGCCACTCCAGGATCCCTGCCACATGCAGCACAGGTCCCAGACTGGCTGGAGTGGCTGCTGAACCAGGTATGCTAGACAAGGGGAAAGGGAAAGGAAATCATGGGCATGATCCAGACCATGAACCAGCACCTAGGCACTCATATGGCCTATGACACACCTGTTCTAAGCCAAAACACAACTTTACAAGGGAAGTAAAAAACAGAGGTAAAAGATAAGGAGAATGGAAAATAAGACTGGCAAAAGCAAGCCAGTTTATTAGTACTTCACACAATTTGATTACACAATGTTAGATTAAATTATCCAATGCTTGCTATGTGCCCAACTTGCTGTGCACTACACACACACACACACACACACACACACTTGGCAAGTGATAGAAATGTGTATTGTTTTGTATTTTTTATTTGAGATATGTGACTGATTTCTAAACAGCTTTGTTCTGTATAGGTGAATACAAATGTATTACATGCAAAGAATTGTCAAATTATTATGTTTTGATAAGTTTTATTTATATTCACTCTGTTGACACATAAGCAATACAGCCCAGTTTTGCCTACTATTTCTTTGTGAAAATATTCTATTTTTATGACAGTTTATTTCCCCAATCATTGCACATGCATCCACTGATTTACAGTCACTGTATAAGCATTACATATCACTTCTATGCCAAAGTCTGAGAACTCATTAGCACTTCAGAATTTCTTTCTTATGGGTACACTAGCAGGAAACATCCAACACTGCACAAGAGCTATGGAGAATACCTATCTGCATCGTAATCTTTGTGATCTTAGAAGTAGCTCCAAGACTAAAGTAGCCAAAATCCAGAGACCTGATGCTTGTGCTGATGTAGAATTATCTTCTCTGGCTTCATTATCTTCATTTATATCTCTTTGTGACCCGAAAATAAAGATTAAACAAACTATATATATATATATATATATCAAGAACTGTTTACAACACAAGTCTAAAAGGTGAATATATATGTTCCTAGAGAATACATGCATCATCAATTTGAGTTGACATAATTAAGATAATTTAAATATGCAATAATTTAAACACACGTGCAGATAAAGACAGGGAAAACAACAAACAAAAAACTATAACTACTGATAGAGGACAATATGGAAAATTGTATATTACCACTACTGAACTTATATTGATAAGCAGAATACTTTAATTTGAAGACTAACCTGTCCATTATATGTCATGTGTTTTAAATTCACTAAGGCTTAAAGAAAATATTTCTAAAAATTAAATTAAATGAATTCCACTGCTTTAGAGCACATGCACATACCAGTCCTCCTTCATTCCCAACATTCAAAGAAATACATGTTTCAGAGGTAATCTAATTGACAGCATCCCTTCAAATCATTTCAATCAATGGGATTTTAGACATGTGTATTATTAATTATCCCTTTTTCAATCAGGCCACTGTAACTATCTTATCTGCAGCTTCCCTAAAACTTATCTTCAAAGAAATGATCAGCAGCTAAATTAATCTTCCTTTGCCATTTTCTAATATGTCATTTCATAGATTTCATAGACATTAGGGCTGGAAGGGAC